CGCTGGGCGCTCCGGTTGCAAGAGTACGACTTCACAATCCAGCACGTGCCCGGGAAGGAGAACCACTTGGCTGACTGGCTGTCAAGACCAGAGGCTGAAGAAGATGAGGTAGGATGGATCATGATGGGGTCAAGAGCCTCGTCGCCGAACTGGATCCCCAAAGGTTGGTGCAACTCCAACGGCAGGATCCTGTGTTACGGAATGTTCCAGCCGCCTTGTTGGACGGAAGGAGCGTTGAGAACGGAGAGAGAGACAAGGAATTGGGGACGTTCCAGAGTCACTTTGATCGGCTGAGGTTGAAGAACAAACCTAGCACACATCTGGACCGTTGGATAGGTCAGCACCCCCACAGCGCTTGTGAGTAGGCAAGCTGCATGAATGATGCTGCATGAGCCACAGGAATGCGCCAAAATAATGGAAGAAGAATCGTGGAGCCGGGTGAACATGTACAAAACCGGGAAAGCAGTCTGACTGTGTAGTACTCACCTGCTCGCTTCTCTGATTTAAACAGCTCTTCCACCTTCTCAACAATTAGCGCGTGTTCCAGAAGCCGTTCGGAAACGGGAAGAAAGTATTGGCCAAGCATGTCCGCAGTGGAATTGGCGACGATTGGTTGAGTACGTGCTGAGTGGTTGGAGGGATAGAAGTAAAGAAGGATAGCAGAAAACAATATCTGAGGAAAGGCTTCTCTACTGAAGCCAAAATAAGCGACCGTCAATTACGCAGTCTTAACAAATCGAATGCAATGACAGGGGAGTTACTCTGGTACACTGATGTGTGGTGCCTGTATGGCATTCCAAAAGCACAAGACTGAAGCAAGATAGTCAAAATGTCGATTTCCGTCGAAGCCCTAAAGAGATTTTTGTTTGTGTACCGAACGACCCCGAATGACACTTTGGCGAACCACCAATCACCTGCAGAGGGGCTCATGGGCCGTAAACTGAGAAGTATGCATTCTTCCATGTTGCCAACACAATCTACTGAGTCAAGGTCCATATCGGTGGCAGCTGGAACTCTATTCAACGTGTGAACGCCCGTACTTGTCCGTGACTATCGTAAACGCGGTAGTGTGATGTACGATGTGTCAGCTGGTCAAGACACCTGGACCAGACATCAAAACCAACTCCGCTTTAACAGCACGCCGGAAACTCAAGTATGTTCGGGTACCGTACCGTTGGACATATTGCTCGATCCTTGTGAGCTGAGAACTGGGACAGCTTCGAAAGAAGAGAGTGTGACTAGCAGCTCAGTATTTGATTCAGTACTTCTCTCCAGGCGGTGGACAGATCGACACCGCCGCCAGCCGGAACGTATCCAGGTCGACTCTCGTCGGGTATGCTACTGACTTTTTCACAAGGGGAGGTGTTGGGGGTGTCAATATCCCCGAAAACTCCGTATCTTTGTGTGTGCTAACGAACTTCCGGCACTTTTCAAGGTCAAACCATGGATATATATATGCATCGTCATTTTTCCGGGATTCGCCTGTTGATCGCGTGTTGTTTGAATCATTAATGTTGCGTCTGAGGTTTTTCGTCTTCTTACTATTCGCCGTGCTAGGAGTCTGGATCAAGCAACCTAGTTGGGGATAGAATATTGTCACAGTCCGCATATCTTATTGTTTGCCCACCGCGTAGTCGAACCGTAACACTAACATGATGCAGGTAAGGGCACACTTTGACGCGACAAGCCTAGTGGTCACCATTGGACCAACCTCAACCCTTCCTTCCTCGGTTGAAATTGGCTTGACAACACTCTAACAGTTTCCGCAAGCGGTCTTTGAGAACCTAATCCCAACTACCGATCTAGTTGTCAAGTATAGAGTGTTTCACAACCAAACAGGTTGGCAGAATCCTAAGCATTTGAGTAGAAACACTGAGCTGCCTCCCCCCGTTGTTTTGTTGTCTGTGAGAACAACTAACATTGAGTAACGGTCAAACTTCCGAAATAAAGTTATGGCAAAGTCGCAGAGGTCAGTGATTTATCTAGTTCTTACATTCAAATTCTTTGTTAAGAGTGGAATATCTTACATCTATTCTCTCATCGGTTCTCACCTTGACTTAATTAACCCAACTTTGCTGCGACCAGAACCGTTGTTTGCGTGCATGCAATTTAAAACAGTGGCGTCCCCGAAAAAGGTCACTCATGAAGAGCAACCCAACTGGTCTTCGTTGAGTGGACCCCCTTTACCGACCATACGATCAAAAAGTAATGTACGTACTTCAATTTCTTGTGGTAACTCCATGATACGTCGTGGCCAATGTGATGATATTACGATCCCCTCTTACATCGCTTGTGATTTACCAAACACCACACCTATGGTCCGTCACCATGGTGACATTTTAGAACTCCTTCAGTCACACAGTCCTTCAGTCCACATTGGACAACATCTACTCAGAATCGCACAAAAATATCGCCAAAAAGTGGTTTATTGTGGTGGCCAAGGGAACTCTGAACTTTACAGTACATTACACATGGAAAGCCTCCGTTGCGTGCACACTCCTGACGTAAGATGTAGTATACCCCTGCTAGAAAGACCACCATCAAGAGAAACACCCCATAACAGGCTAATTTCGGTTAGTCCGTCACCCAGGAGAGATCAACGTGCGAAATTGAGCGCTTTCAAGCTAGCCAATGGAGTAGCTCCTCGAGAAAAGACAGGTGTGCAGTCGTGTTTTTACAAAGCCCCGAACGTTGCAGATATCACTCCTGATTGACCTCTTCAAGTGGTCTTTCAATAGCAGGAAAAGCTGATCCAGGTTTTCCCTTTCTGAAGATCGCTTGAAACGATTCAAATGAGGTGATCCCGATCGATATCTGGTCCCTTTGGGAGGGCGTTGGTAATGAAAGGCTGAGACTAAGCAAAAATTGTCCCATCTGAGGGATGTTAGTAAGGATAAAGATTGTCGTAAATGTTGGTCATTCGGATAGGAATCATGATACAGGATGCAATCTTCGCACCGGCCCCATTCAGAAATCAATAGACCAGCACAGCAATTTCGTGACCGGCCCTTGCTGGATTGGGTGTTGCCCCGGAAGAACACTTGGAGCAGTCATTTTGAGGGGATCGCTGAAGGGATGTTTCGTTGAAAGCGTTAATTTCCAGCAAAACTCTCACGGGACCGGAGTGCATTAGTCTTTACCTTGAAGCGGCCTCTCTTTGAGGGAGCTTTTTGTTAGGTGTTTGTTCAGTAAACATCCGAGTTGCTTCAATGTTTACCAATCGACAGAGGCTTCTGTTGGGAGAATGCTGTAACTCGTAATAGAAAAACTGGGAATCCGAGTTTGTCTCTCAAATCTACGTTAGTGGTGCATGAGATTTCTGGATCATCATCATTGTCAGCTGTAATAGCCGCTTACTTGTCGTACAGTAGTTGTAGCTGCCACAGTTTCGTTCACCGATGATTCGCGGAGGTGGGGGAGGTAGCTGCGCATTGCGCGCG